TTCTTCCCTCATGTGGCAGGGGCCCAGGAAGCTCACTGAGTGATCTTGGGTCAATCTCTCCATCTAATTTAATCACAGAGTTGCTGTATGGGTAATTCCCCATGCTGAACTCATTCAGTGGCACAGAGACTTGGTAAGGAGAATAACTGGTTATTCCTTTCCTATGAGAAAGAGGACTTTTCATTTTACAAAAAAAAATGACTAAGGGTGGCATGATAGAAGTATCTGAAGACAGGTGCCTGCACACGAAATCTCACACCCGGAATAAAACTTGGTTGGTCTTAAAGGTGCCACTGGACTCAAACTTTGTTCTTTTGATATATCCCATTACACCTGGCATGGAGAAAGGGAGTAGAGGGAACTTCTTCTCCCTCTTCTGTAATGCTAGAACTCAGTGTCACCTGGAGAAGTTGATAGCCAAGACAGACAGAGTTAAATCCTTCTTACTCAGTGAGTAATTTCATTGTGAATCTGATCGAACCTGAACTCTCTAGAAGCTAAGATGACTAAAGAGAGGCAATTGGACTTCGTTCACATTCTGAAAAGACAAGAGTCGTTGAAAAAGACAAGAATGCTAGGAAACGTTGAAGGCAGTGGGAAAAGAGGAAAACCCGATATGAGCTGGGTTGACCTTATAACGGAAGCCAGAATCCTCAGTTTGCAAGACCTGAGCAAGGCTGTTAATGACAGGACATTTTGGAGGTTATTAATTCATAGGGGTGCCATAAGTCAGAAATGACTTGAGAGCACTTCACACATACATTTTTGTTGTGTGATTCCCCGCAAGCATAGGTATGTACGCAAGAGCTATCGAGTCACAACTGACGTACGGCAACCCCAGCAAGGGGCTTTCAAGACAAGTGAGAAGCAAAGGTTGTTTTCCATTGCCTTCCTCTCCAGCATCTTCCTTGGTGGTCTCCCATCCAAGTACCGACCCTGCTTCGCTCCCCCAAGTACGGTCAATGCTTAGCTTAGACTGATGACAATCCCAGCAAGGGGCTGTCAAAGCAAGTGAGAAGCTGGCTTTCAAAGAGGATTAAACACATTCATGGAGGATAGATCCATCAGTGTCTTCTAACCATGACTAAATGAAACCTCCACGTCTGGAGGCCAGAAGGTGGAGGCAACCTCAGGTGGCGGCCTCGGGCCTCAATCTCCATTTGGTGTTTGTTGGACCTCCAAGGCAACTGGATGGCCATTATGTGAGAACAAATGTAAAGGAAACAGTTGTGAGAGTCTGACCCACAGATCAAGCAGTCAACAAGACTTGCAAAGAAGATGCTTTCTGTATATTATGGTCAACAAGCACTACAGCACAATAAACAAATCCCTTCAAATCATAAGAAAATCCTAGTGTGAAAATACATCATCAACGTTGTCTCCGGATTCTATAACACCGTTTCAAAATTGGATCTTCCTCAGGAAATAATAGAGTAGTACAAAAGCTCTCTTGCTCATAAAGTGCTTTACAGAAAGTCATGAAAGATAATACATTCAGATAGGATGCCGATCTCAATAAGTATTCAGGCTGAAATACGCTGCTAAATTTCTGATGGATCCCAGGCGTCATGTTATATAATCCGGAGACGACGTTGAGGATGTATTTTCACACTAGGATTTTCTTATGATTTGAAGAGATTTGTTTATTGGGTTGTGGTGCTTGTTAACCATAATACATTTACTACAGCACAATAAACAAATATGTTTCCTTTACATTTGTTCTCTGATTAGGTCGTGATTGTCCACACTTGTCTTGTGGCCATTATGTGAAACAGAATGCTGGAAGAGAGTCATCCGTGGTCTGATCCAGCAGGGCGCCTCTTCTGTTCTTGCAGAATTTGGGAATCAGATACAAAAAAAACCCCAAAACCAATGTACGTCGTCGAGTAGCTGTCAGTTGCGCAGCTCGTGCGGTAGGGCTTTGTGCATCGTGCCATCCGTGCGCCGAGGACTCTGCCGGAGGGTAAAACGGCTGGACGATAATGATATTCTTGTCCGTTCTCGTCTCTGTGATTGTATGATAGATACAAGGGTGAGGAGAGGCACATGAGAAAACAGGCTCCAAATAGAGATGTGATTAGAATCTTTTCCTCATATATTGTCTTAAAAATAGACTTGCGAGGCAATAATGCGTTGGCTCGGAGTCAATGTTTATGTGATGTCCTAAGGCAAAATGAACAAAAAAACCCAATAAAAAGAAAATCATAATCCTTGCCGGTATTAGAAGCACATTTACAAGCAGGGAATGCCGGGAAGGTCGGCTTCCTTTTGATACTCAGCAGGGCATTTATCAAAGCGAAAGATTTTTTTCCCCCTTCCCCCCTTAATAATTACCCTTGTTTGTCTTTTCCTTCTCCAGGACTTGCCAGTTCCCACCTCAAAGTGGACCAGATTTCCTTTCATCATAAAAACGAGAGTTCGGCTTCTGCCGTGATAACCCGTCGGAAACCAGCGGCTCTCGACGGCGTCACAATGACCTCGACTCCAGTGTTATCTCGCTTACCTTCATCAACAGCAGCAGCCTCTGAAGCAGGTAACTTAGAATCATACAGTCATAGAGTTGGAAGGTATCTCCAGGGTCATCTAGTCCAACCCCCTGCACACTGCAGGAAATTCACAAATACCTCCTCCTCCACACACACACCCAAAGTTATCATTGTTCCGTGCCCAGAAGATGACCAAAAAAACCCCAAAACAAATGCCCAGAAGCTGACCAAAAAAACCCCCAAACAAACCCAGGATCCTCAGCCAAAGTGGCCTGGAGAAAAATTGCTTCCTGACCCTGAAGTGGCAATTGACATTTCCCTGAGTGAGTAAGAGCCCACCTCGGTGGGGAGGGCGGGGTATAAATTGAATAAATTAATAAATACAAAAGGGCCGTGAGAACTAAGCACTGAGGCAACCCTTCCTGCCCTCCCTCACATGATCTGCCCAAGTTCACAGGATCAGCATTGCTGTCAGATGGCCATCTAGCCTCTGCTTGAAAACCTCCAAAGAAGGAGAGCCCACCACCTCCCGAGGAAGCCTGTTCCGCTGAGGAACCGCTCTAACTGTCAGGAAGTCCCGGCCCCACTGCTGGACCTCCAAATGGCACCTGCTATTTTTGGTCACTGTGTGACAGAGTACTGGACTGAATGGGCCATTGGCCTTGATCCAACATTGGCTTCTCTTATGTGCTGATGTTTAGCTGAAAATGCTTTTGATTTCATTTCAACACGTTGGTTCTGGTCCGACCTACTGGGGCAACAGAAAAGAACTCCACATCAGTGCTCCCTCTAAGCTGAGTTAGTGTGAGCTAGCTCACAGTTTTTTAGCATCTGGCCCACACATGTTCGTCTCAGCTCAAGACAGATGGCTCCAGAGCAAACTAATTGATACAACAGCCAAATCACTCGCTCACAGCTTTATGCCAGTAGCTCACAAAGCAGAATTTTTGCTCACAGCACTCCACAGCTTAGAGGGAGCATTGTGCCCACCCCATCCTCTACAGGACAGCCCTTCAGATACTTGAAGATGGTTATCATTCAGGGCTCTTTTTGTAGCAGGTACTCATTTGCATATTAAGCGACACACCCCTAATGTAGCCAATCCTCCAAGAGCTTACAGTAGCCCCTGTTAGAAGAGCTCTGTAAGCTCTTGGGAGGATTGGCTACATTAGGGGTGTGTGGCCTAATATGCAAAGGAGTTGCTGCTGTGACGCCAGTCGGGAAGAAGGCTGAGATGACAGGATTGAGGTTGATGCAAAGCTGGTAGCTCTGAGCATGTGACTTATTCTACATACACACAGGGGTCATTTCCTGCAGGAGCGCACAGGAGTGGAGCTCCGGCAGTAAAGAGCCCAGGGGGCGGGCACATGCAACAAGCCCCACCCCCTGCTCCCAGCAGCCCTCAGTCAGAGCAAGGAGCAGCCAGGTAAATTGCAGAGCCCCTCCAGCCCCCTGGTCCAAAACAGTCCAGTGGCACCTTTAAGACCAAGTTACCTCTCAGTCATCTCCTCTCCTCTTGTGCACTGAATTGTGTCAACGCCGGGTAGCCCCGTTGATCCACAGCAGTCGATTCGAGTTCAGGAGCACTTTAGAGGCCAACAAGATTTTTCAGGGAAGAAGCTTTCAAGAGTCAAAACTCTGACGAAGGGTCAAAGAGAGTCAGGGGTATCTGACAAGGGGAACTCTGATTCTCAAAAGCCTTATACCCTCAACAATCCTGCTGGTCTCTGAGGCGCTACTGGACTCACATCTAGCTCTTCTTATATGCCGAATAGCTCCTTTGTGTTGCAAGGCAGACTGATGTGGAGAAAAATTAAGCAGCCATAGCAGAAGTATCTGTCACCAAGTGCGGATCAGAGAAGGTTGGAGACCTTGTGTAGAATTGATGAGCCTTCCTGCTCTGCCAGTAGATAAGAACATAAGGGAAGTGTAAAAAGAATGTTGGAACCTTTATACACATGTGGTGGAGGTGTGAGAAGGTACAGAGATACTGGGAAAAAGTATTTAGGATGCTAAATGACATAATAGGAGAGCTGGTACCTTTTGTACCCGAGATAGCTTTACTAAATATGCTTCCAGAAACCTATGCTAAATCTAATAAATATGTAATTATTTATCTGCTTACGACAGCTAGATTGTTATTAGCCAGTAAATGGAAACAAGAAGATCTACCCTCTAGAAGAGAAGTAGTTGACAAAATGTTATCAGTGGTTGAAATGGACAAATTAAGTTTGATATTAAAAGGCAATAGTAAGGAGACTTTTGAAAAAAGATGGAAAAGATTCTATATATGGCTTGATAATGAGTATTATGAATGACTCACAAGTATGATAAATGTAACTCGCAGATATAATGTATGTTTGAAAACTTTAAATAAACTTTGGAGAAAAAAAAAAGAACATAAGAAGAGCCCTGCTGGATCAGAGCAGTGGTCCATCTAGTCCAGCATCCCGTCTCACACAGCAGCCAGTCAGTTCTTCTGGAGGGCCAAGAACAGGGCATGGAGTCCGAGGCCTTCATTAGCTACCTTCTAGTGTCCTGGCCTCACTGCTGGACCTCCTGATGGCACCTGGTATTTATGGCCACTGTGTGACACAGAGTGTTGGACTGGATGAGCCATTGGCCTGATCCAACATTGACTTCTCTTATGTTCTTGTGTAACGTAAGAGCCCTGCTGGATCAGAGCAATGGTCCATCTAGTCCAGCATCCCATCTCACACAGCAGCCAACCAGTTCTTCTGGAGGGCCAACAGCAGGGTATGGAGGCTAAGGCCTTCATAAGAACATCAGGAGAGCCCTGCTGGATCAGACCAGTGGTCCCTCTAGTCCAGCATCCCATCTCACACAGCAGCCAACCAGTTCTTCTGGAGGGCCAACAACAGGGCACAGAGGCCGAGGCCTTCATAAGAACGTAAGAAGAGCCCTGCTGGATCAGACCAGTGGTCCCTCTAGTCCAGCATCCCATCTCACACAGCAGCCAACCAGTTCTTCTGGAGGGCCAACAACAGGGCACGGAGGCCGAGTCCTTCATAGGAACATAAGAGCCCTGCTGAATCAGAGCAGTGGTCCATCTAGTCCAGCATCCCATCTCACACAGCAGCCAACCAGTTCTTCTGGAGAGCCTTGCTGGATCAGAGCAGTGGTCCATATAGTCCAACATCCCATCTCACACAGC